GAGTGGACCGGTCTCTATATGGGATCCGAACCCTCAGCGGGAGCGCCGCTGCGCTCCCAAGCGCCATACTCTACCAAGTGTGCCACCGGGCCGGCCCTTTTTTCCATCTTTGAGTTAGGATTTTTTTCTTTTGGAGGGTGAAGCCTTTTTTGTTTGTAGTCACAAAAGGTTATTGTCATGTTTGAGGCTCACGGAGGTAAAAATGTTAAACTATTATTCCAACAAAGACAGGTCAATTTCATTTATTCAGAAGATTTTCATATTGGCACTTTATTACCAGATTTTCATTTTATCAACTTTGTAAATTATACTTTCTCTAGCACCAAATGTAGTATTTTTACAATGACATTAATTTGGAGTCCCACAGCTTCAAACCATTCTCTGTGTGTTGAAATTGATTAGCCCTCTGTTAGTATTGATTGGCTCCCTGTTGTTTGCTGATTTTTCAAGAGCTGAGACTAAGTTAATTTTGGAGATGAGAAGTAAAAGGGGCAAAGGCTGAAGTGTTGAGAGCACATTTTGTGGGAGATTTCAGTCTGATGGCCAATCTCATGCTTTGTCAGGTGACTCTAGGAAGGTCCACTTTACACTTAGCCTTCAAGAATTCTCTCTATTTCACCAAGATATCCTAACAAAGCAAGACAGGGTCTGCACAGTCCAGCATTAAACCTCAACTGTGCCACTAGATCATACCCTTAGATTTAGTCTGACCCCAAACTGCCCTGAGGCCAGGTCTGGAAGTTTCCTGGGAAATGAAGGCCAACCCCAGGCTTGCCTTGAAAAGGCTCCCAGAATTTTCCTCCTGAGAAATGTAGGTAAAGCTGTGCTTCTCAAACCCTAAGAGTCCAGTGGTGTGCCAAAGAGTGCCTGAAGCTATAGGACAAACAAGACCCATGTTCCAGAAAACAGTGAAGTAGCAGTTATTAAGAGTGAATTCCACAACTATTATGAACAGGACGTAAGACTTCTTCCTGCAAAAAGTGGACTGCTTAAGTGTCCAGAGGAAGGCAGGCCTCATGGAGGAGATGACCCTGCTGCTGGGCCTGAGAGCTCAGCAGGACTAAGATAGGCAAAGGGGAGTGGTGGGGACGCTCCAGAAAGGGGTTCTGATGAGGACATGTTTGGAGCACAGTTTGATGACCAGGGAAGAAATGTCCTACCTGGAGCATAAATGTAACTGTCCTAAGTAGGAGGTGAAATTGAACAAGTTGTAATGAAGATCAGGGGCAGAACATCGAGAGCAATATTGTGAAGAGAGAGAGAAATTGGTGGCCTGACATGCAAGAAGGTGACAGCCGGAGCACAGGGTGCTGTGGGCAAAGAGCCTGAGGAGCGAAGCATGATTGTGAGGCCACCTGGCAGCAATTCAGAGAAGACACGGCAAGAACTTGCACTCAGAGGTGGAGTGAGGTGGCCCAGAGGATGGGAAATGTCTCAAAGGAAGGGCTGATGAGATTTGTTGATGGCTTTGTTGAGGATAAAGAGGAAAGATGACAGGATGCCTGGAGCCTAGATAACTGCGGCAGTGGTGGCGTCTGTGCAAGGTCCCCACACACACAGCACGCACCTCCTACTGGGTCACGTGGGGTGCTGTTCACAGAGGCCACAGCGAATGTCCTGCTTACTTGAATGGCGCGGAGGCAACCTGCAAACCCAAGTCTAGCAGCCTTGCCTTTGAGAGAAACAGGAAGCTGAAAAAGTATTCATTTTGAAAAAAAAATAAAAAAGGTATGTGCTTAGTATGCTTCGTTTGAGAACTGCTGAGGCTTAACGGACAGAGAGAGAAGTCTCCAGACGGGCGATTGTACAGGGGAGCAGCAGTGTCGGTGGGAGAGTGAGATTTGAAAATCGTCAGCCTCTGGGGCCCCTATTTTGTGTTTGCTATTTTCAAAAGGAAAATGAAGTCCTTCATCACGTCAGGTAACTGATGAGCATAACTGGGACCTATGCCCAGCTGTTTGGTGCATCGTATGCAAGAATAATGCAACCATTGTCAGTAAATCAGACCCAGGTTCCCTGAAATACACGGAACCTAAATTGGGGCCTAAAATTATTCTTTTTTGCCAAATCACAATAGATCAGCAAGGAACAAGGGAAACAAAAGTTTAGATGAATAATAGTCCTAGAAAACTTTCTTTGAAATTCCTCCATCCTCCCTCCCTCCCTTCTTGTCTCATCTCTGGAATGACAATTTCTAGTCCTTTTCTCTGTTCCTTACAAAGAAGCCCATTATTGGGGGGGAAAAACACACTACACCCACTCCAGGAGAGCTAAATCTAGAGAATGAAGGGGATTGTGTGTGTGTGTGTGTGTGTGCACGTGCCACTCAGTCATTTCCCGAGGCAGCAGAGCGTTCTGTCACATGTGCAGAGTGCAGCATTACCTGTTTTTCACTGGGGGAGGTTTAAGATTAGGAATTTGAACTTGGGCTAACAGTTGGTATGAGGCAGGTAGCATGTGCCAGCAGGACACCCACGTGGCACGAGGCCTCTGCCCTGGAGACCCAGCCACACTTC